CCGGGTCAGCCCTGACTTTGTGTTAAACTAATCCTAAAGCAATAATGGTATTTCTAACCACTGATATAACTTTATCCTTTCAACAGCTACTGAAAGTTAGGGGACCTAGCTGCTATCGGATATTTATATAGAGATCCTCCAGCTTCAAACTGTATTACCCTTCAAGGACCTGCAGTTCAAAAAAAGCGCCCCTCCGACAGCCAAACCCATCTGTTCTCTGATTGGATTGTTACATTTGTGATTGACATGACATTGACCAATCAGATGAAAGGAAGAAAAATAGGGTCAAAATTCGTACTTGTAACTTGCAGGGTTTGTTTTGGCTAAGTCCACACACAAATCTTTTTTACGCACACACAAATCTTTTTTACGCACACACACACACACACACACACACACACACACAACTTCTTTTTACACATACAAAGCTGATTTACAAGTACAAAATATTTATGACCACATTTTGAGCCCATAGTATTCATCCAACGTATTTTTTTTTTTTTTAAATCCCTGTCGTGGAAATTTAATTAACAAAGCTCGCAGACACTGTAGTAGCAGTAAAAACACCTTTAATTCTTCTATCGCATGCATGAGGACAGACATCAGTCAGGGGGCACTGAGAGCCGTCTCTGAAAATGAACAGTACTGGCCTCTTTTTAATACAGTCAACAGAACAAACGAAGGCCTTAAACAGCTGCTGCTTACACATTTGCTCTTCCCCAAGGAAGAGTTTACAATCCTTTACAAGAGCAGTCTGAGGTGATAAAGTCAAAGTACTGTTACTAAGACAATGTGACCAATACGTAAAAAAATTCCAACATATCCCCTTTACTTTAAACTATTGGCAATCTATTAGAAAGCAGGATACGGTATAAAACAGCTGAAAGGGACTACAAAGTTGTTTGTTGGCCCTTGAAATCAAACAAACTGGGGTCAGAGTTTAAACCATCCCCATGTGCGCTGACCTGAAACCCATTCCTTGAACCCTGGGAGGTTGTGCAACTGCATGGTTTGCTATAGTAAAGGCCAGTTTTTGCAGATACACTGCATCAGTGCAGTGACTTCAGGGATAAGATACAACACAAAGGCGTGTGTGTTGCACAGTGGTTGCGCATGCTCAACAATTAACCAAATCATCGGGTTTGATTGAAATCACTCCGCTCATGTGACTCACTTTTAAGATGCACGAGTCCAATAAGGTTTTAAGAAAGCTTTTTTTCTTGAGAACCTTCACTGACAAAGCTGTTACACTGTTACACAACATGCTGCGCAAAATGATGCATTTGAAACTGGTATTACTGCACTGGCATGTGCCAGAATATATATGAATGAATTTCACTGCCATACTCTGGGAAAACAGTGAAAAGGTGGCAGCATGTACACAGAAATCCATGCATTTATTCTAGAATAACAAACAAACATTCACTGCATTTCTAATAAACTTTCTTGGATCGTCTGTGCAATGCATTCAATCCCATCCTCTTCCACTAAGAGTACATTCAGCGACATTACCGCGTTAAACTGGGTAAAGTGAGCATGTCGCGTGCCATTTTAACACTTACCTGCGCGTGTTAAGTGTATGTGTGAAGCAGGAATTAGCCGGAGCCCAGACCAGGACAGCAGTCAGATGTGTTGCCTCTGCTCCCAGCCCGCTGACTGACCGAGGGGATGCAAAGTATGTCATCACACACACACAACACACCACGTGGATCCAATGTAACAAATACATATTCACTATACGTTAGCAAACGCTACGAAAAGTTAGCTTAAAGTGCTACGAGGCACAACAAAGTGTATCGGCGTTTGTGTTCGCTGCTTACCTTTATGTGTTGTACAAACTAATCTGGGACACTTTTTTGGGGAATTCTACAACTTCCTCGGGGTGTAACTGGCAAGTGCATCATGGGAATTGTAGTTTGTTCGCCATCTCGTGCTAGTGTGGCGACCATTGACTGTAGAAAACAATGGTGGCGACGCGAATTAGGAAAACCGGTAAAGGCAACTAACTAGATGGTGATGACAGCACCACCTGGTGTAACACCCCAGGAGAGTTTGCCGGCGCAAACGTTATAACAGTTATAAAAGGCACACAGGCTCGTTATTATCGAGCAGAGACGAGGCAGGTCAAGTTCATCAAACAAAGTTTATTGGACAAAACTACTAAAAGTGTAGAGCTGAAAAAAAAAAGAACTTCTTAAGTAGCAGGGCTGGGAATACCGAACCGTTAATTAAGACACGTTATTTACAAACATTACTTAAAATAACAAGGTTCAGTAAAATGATCCTGTGTAGTCTGTCTACAATCCTCACTGCAACTTAAATGGTGTGTAATACCCATTTCCCGGTGTATATGCTCACATGCATCAGAGGGAATTCCACCACACGCGCCTAGCCCTCACAAGCGTAGTGGAGCAACCCTCCACTAAAGCAAAATAAACCCATAAATCAATATATATAAAACATAAAACAACTCAGTAAACGAGATGCAAAAGAAACAAGAACCAACAAACACAATTAACCAATACTCAGAACAATGTGCAAGTCCTGGAACTCAGTGAAGATTAAGGAGAACGACAACTGCAAGACAACAGTATCATCACTTGTATGTAAATGTACATTATTCACACGTGTCACTACTTTGCCAAGATCTGGAAGAAAACCTAAACTGTTACCCTCACAAGAGGAAATTGGTTTCTAGTGCAACAGCGTCACTCTACACAGTGTAGAATGACGCTGCCAGAGCTTTACATCTGCTCCAAAATTGACACCTTCAAGCTTGACTGAAATTTGCAGCTGCCCACCTGGACTAGTTATATGCTTTCCCAAGAAAAGTTTTATGGTCAGCTGAGACAAAGATTGAGCTTTTCAGCCACAATGACAAGTGGTATGTTTAGAGTAGTAAAGGTGAAGCTTTCAAACCTAAAAACACTGTACCAACTGTCGAGCATAGCGATGGTAGCATCGTGCTGTGGGGCTGTTTTGCTGCCAGTTGTACATTGCACAAAGTGGATGGAATGATAAAGGGCTACTTCCAAATTCTTTAACTTCACATGTCTGTCTGCTTCCCAGGTGTTTTTGGTGACTAAAGCTTAAGCTTTACATCACTTCCACTTTTCCACTTTTGTGAGATCTGGTCTAGTCCAATCATCTTTCTGCCGGCCTTCTTTAAGCCAATCAACCTTCACTCCGTGTACTTCAAATCTCACTGCACATCTGTCATTCTTCTTTGCAGACACCTATTTGCAACCCACCTCCTCCCCATCACCGCCTCTCACTCATCATTCAAGCCTCCATCTATTTCTACCACCAGCGTCTAGACTTCAGGGGTGTCCTGCTCTAGTCTCTTTCACAGATGGGGTTACGTTCTGCTGTGCTGGGCCATTGGAGTCTAATCGCCAAATACCTGAAATCTAATTCTGTACATCAATTAATTATGCTCAATTCCTTCTAGACCTGCTAGAAGGCTGAAATCTGGGCATTCCAACAAGTAAATTATGTCAAATACATGAAACGTGCATTTTGAATAGAGAACGCAGACTACCATTAAGCTTCTGAAAATCTTCCCAAAGCCCTGCTTAAAATTTGTGGACAAGGGTTAAAACTTGTGTTTTGCCAAGAAGCAAACCACTTTAACTGAACTCAATTCAATACCAATTCTGCCAGAGTGGTGAAATATTTGCCCAGAATTATGTCAGAAGATTGTTGATGGCTACCAGAAGCATCTGGCTGAGGTGCAACTTGCTTAGGGACATTTAACCAAATATTAGCGGATGTATATGCATGTTGGTAGCCCGTGCGGATTAGAGAAACTTGTACAAGTTACTAAAGATGTATACTGTACAATCATTCCTCCCTGGAAAAAGAACAGTTTACTTAAAAGCCCCAAATTACCATGATATTCATCCTTATGGATAGTTTATGCAAACTTCTGAACTTTACATTCAAACCATCACATAATGCTATTGGCATCCCTATAATGTTAACCTAATACAAGCTTTTTAAAAAATATCTTTTTATCCACAAATTCTTTAATTTTGATCATAGCTTCTAAAAAACGATTCAGGAAACACTGACAAACTTTAGGAACGATCACAGCCATATCAAGCTGGGATAACAAACGCAACATAATAAGTTATACAAAAGAATCCACTTTTCATGCAAGTGTGACAGTTTTTTCCTTCTCAACTGTAGCGATTTGTAGCGCCCTGACTGCAGCGACTCCATCACTTTTAATGTGGCTTTGGAAGCAATCACAGGAGATTAACCTGCTGATAGAAGCTTCTTCACAAAAGCACATAACAGCTCTGAAATACATGCTGGAGCTGTGCCATTTGTTGCTTTTTGCAAGCGATCAATAAATTCTGAAAGTCAATCTTGAAGTTAACATGGAGATGTGTAAAGTTAGCAAATAAGGGCTGAGAGCAGGGTGGGGGCTTTTAATAATGTTGTCTTTAAAACAAAGATACAAACACGTACATCTCTTAAAATGTGATTTCTAATCAATATTGCCACAGAAAAATGGACAGAAAGTCAAAGTTTACTTTGAGCTTTGATTTAAATCTGCTGATCTTAAACATTTGGATCAATACAAAGTGTTATTGATAGTATAAATAGATCTTCAAGCTTTAAGTCCATCCACATGTGGCAGTGCGGTCACAACAGAGGGAGTTCAGGAGCATCGAGGAGTTCTTGTCCCAATTCTGACTCTCTTATGGCAAACAATGTGACGCCTGAGCTGTACGCTGCAGGGATCCTGATGTGAGTCATCTTGGGCTGATTGTTTTCTTCTTCTTCTTCTCCTTCCTCCTCCGTGGCCATCTGCCTCACCTGACCTGAAAACAGGAAAAACAGTGTCAAATATCACATCGGGCGCAAAATGTAAAGGAAATCTTCACAAGCAGCTGCTTTACCCTCGACATCCAGGGCCTTCCACCGTGGGTCGGACTGGCTCTCCGAGAGGCCCGACAGGGAGCAGTCGGGCGTCACTCGCTGCAGCACGTCTTCTCGACGAATCAGCAACATGGATTCACTGCAGAGTCGCTGGTGCACCTCTCCCTCGCTTACTACAATGCACAATAACCAACACCAGCATGAGGAGCTGATTCCTCTTCCCTATAAGCAGCTATTTCCTTTCCCTTACTCACCTACATCTAAAGGATTGGTCATAAAGACAGCGTTGGATGTGACCCCGAATATGAGCTGATGGTGCCAGGCGTCGGGCACCTCCTCACCCTCGGGTACAGCCAGCTGCATGTTCATGGTCGCCACGGGAACAGCGCCTTTTCGGATCCAGTGGGCGAGCCAGGGGACCAGTCTGACTCGCCTGCGAGGGTGGAGGTGGAAGAATCGGCCCGTCACCTGGCCTCCGCTGGCCTCCTGCGCTCCCTGGATGAGCTGGATGTGAGTCGCACCTGAAAGAGCGGGATGAAACGTGACGCCGACGTTTATCGCATCTGAATCATAACAGTTAAACAAAAAGTACGTGTCACGTCTGCTCAGAAGCTGAAAATGTCAGTGTAAAAACTGTGTAGCAGAGCCGAGAAAGTCAATTACAGCCTCTCCTGCGAAAGACATCAAACTCTTTGTCTAATTCAATAGGGTACTTTTGAATTCGCCTGGTTGGCAGTGCAGCCAGCTGTCACACTTGTGGGAAGCAGCACTTATGGGTTCAAGACATTACAGAGCGGGGCAGTTATAGTCCATGTTAGCATCTGTGACACCCCAGATATTACTGTCTGTGGAGCTAAATTAAGATATGCACCTATACCACACTTTATGTATTAACATTTCATTACCTGAAATGTCATGGAACAGCTTGCCGAGAGTGAGAAATTTTGAGCTTGAGCCAACGGCTTACAGTGTAATACGTGCCAATTTAGGGGGAAGCTTTTAAATTGCATGAAAACACACATTTTTAGGGAATTGTAAACGCTAAAGAGACTGCATTTATGTGGCTTTTCTAGTCTTAATGGCCACTCAAAGTGCTTTAACACCAGAAGCCACGCTCGCCCGTTCAGGCAGAGGTTTATAGTCTAGATCGATTCTGTTTGAGCTGTGTAACCTTCTCGGTCCCCTGGGTTCTTGAAGCAAATGACCAAAAGCAGCCCTTGGGATCATTTTATGCAGCCCATGGAGCAGAAAAAGGAAAGAAAGCAGTACTGTATGCACAGGTATAGCCAAAAGACATTTTTTTAACATCTGCGGTAATTTTTATTTAGCAACATTGCTCTGTGTTGGTACCTCATCACCGCTTTCATTTGAATGTGAGATGGATATAGAGCTGCAAGACCCCCTACTGCCAGCACCAACGCCATGCAGAATAGAGCAGGCATCACTAAAAACAGTTATTAAATAGTATAGTTAAAAAAACAACATCGAAGGAAGAGCTGGGTTGCAAAGAGGCTTGCAGGGGCAGCTTAAATAGGTGCCTTTAAGCTGCTCACTTATTTGGCAAGGGGTCACCACAGCGGATGGATCCACAGATTTGACATCAGATGCCCATCTTGAAGCAACCATCCCCAACTGGAACTCAGAATTCAGTAGCATGTGACCTCTTCAGGCTGGGTTTGTTTCTCCTTTTGGCAAATGTTTTCACCACTATACTGAGGGGCACTACAAGAGATTTTTCAATGGGATGTGAGATGTGTAACGTAGGCCAACACTGAGCTCAGCTGATGTGCAATCAAGACAAATCACAGTTTAATTCCATCTCTCCAGCTGACAGCTTTTGTTCAAATTTCTTAATTGTCTATGTCGCTTCTGCAAGAACTCAGAGGACCATGTGCATTGTTATTACATCAACTTGTCAGCAGTCAGGACTGAGACTTGTTTAGTAAGGCGTAGCAAAGAAAAAAAAATTCCTCTTATCTTGGAAGAACTTAATAAAGCACAATAAGAAAATAGACCCTCATGTTTTGCATCAACTACTCGTTGCTACGTTCTTATTAAAGAGGAATCAAGACTCATTAGGGTTTACACAAAAACATATTCCAGTATGGAAAGAGGGATTCTGACCAGTTTAAGTGCGCACACATCACACACATTCAGCTAACGCTAAAGACTTCCTGTAAGATGGCACTCAGACAGTTAGAGTGCGCCCCACATCTCCACCACCCTAAGCCTCAGTATGGGCTCCTAACAGGTTGTATGCCGTGTCCCTTGCTCTATTCCATGATTGCACCCCATCCACCACAGCAACACCATCAGTAAATCCACAGACGACACCACGGTGATGGGGTTCATGTCTGTGTGAATGAATCGGCCTGCAGGGACGAGGTGGTGCAGATGACGGTGAGGTGCAGAGACAACAACTTGCTTCTTTTGCTCAATGGGAAAGTCTACAAACGTACTGTCTATGTGTGTGGTGCAGCTGCACAGTGGCAAAAAGCCGTCTCTAGAGGAACTCAACAACACTCGCTGTCTCAGGAAATCCCAAAAACATTTTGTCTGACTCATCACACCCAGACGATGCAGCACAATAAAATCAAGGACAATGTTACTTCCCCACAACTATTTAAGCATAGTTTTCATTTATTTTGTATATATTATTTATATTTTCTTTAGCACTAAGTGCTGAACTTAGTTTTGCTGAACTTGTAACTTAGTAATTTTAATCATTATTTAGGGGTCTGGAAGCCATGCTTACTTGTCGCCGGGAAGGTTTAGTCTGTTACACTGCCTGGAAAAGACGCTCACTTTCAAACTTTTTTTGCAGTGTTAGAGCATAGCAATATCTACGGCTGGATTAAGTGCATACAAATGCCTTTTTTTCTCCACACACTTTTGCACTTACAGGGTGCATAAAGTGTTCCAGAGGGCTGTCACTGGCCTGCAGCTTTCACTTGGAGAGCCCCGGCCCTTGAAGGTTAAACAGGAACTCCAAGAGAATCGATCTAAAGCCACTGTCGCCTGCTTGTGCTGAAATAATTCATTCACTTGTCATTTGGCTTTCTGTTTCATCAGCTTGTATATGCTTAATCAAGTTAACGACAGTCTGCTGAGCTTGCTTTCATTTTTATGGAAAGTTGAAGCATCTAAAATCTGTCCAAATCCTCACAGCAAAGGAGCATTTGCAGACCTTCAAAAGTAAGCTTGTTACATGTATAGTTAAAAAAGCAGTTATGGTGTGCTTATAGAACATGTGTGTCTATTTTCCCTCTCCCTCCCCTTAGGGAATCCACAGTGAAACAGGACCTACACCCTATAACTGTTGCAGTAGGCAAAAATTCATGAGAATGAAAGTTACCTGGCAATAAAAATATATATTATGCACAGACAGAGAAGAATGGACTAATCCAATTGTTCTCTGTCTGAAAAAAAATAGTGGAAAGTTGGATATAAGAAAAAGAAATACAATTTCAACAGTACGTCTCAGTTTTTCCACGTGATAAAGAAACAGTAATGGAGGACATGAAAGAAACCTGTCAGCACCATGGTTTGGGTTTAAACTTTGAAAAAATGAATGTGTAAGATTACAGAAAAAAGTTTGATAGCTCATTGCCCAGACTCTCCTGTAGTTTCTGTTAGTTCATGTGGACGCATTGTAAAAAAATAAAATAAAAGATTTCTATAGTCAACAGTGGAAAAACTGTTGTTTTTCTGTTATTTCACTGCATCTATTACTAAATTATTTTGGTGTAATCTGAATGGGCGTGGGGTCAGTATTTATCACAAAGAAAAGCTTATAATACATTTCATATTTTCCAAAACCACCCAATGGGTCAGACTGGAGTCTTTGCGGATCGATTCTGGCCCCCAGGCCTTATGTATGACCCCCGATTTAGACTTAATACTTAAACATAGCTCAATGATCAGCAACAACAGAGGATACTTTAATGCACACGGCATTTTCTGCACATTTATGTGCACTTTTTGCGTAAAACATAAAACAAGCACACCCCTCTCCTTTCTCTTTAGCCATGTTTAGTGTTCTCACCAGCTTCACTGCGGGACAGCAGGTAGTCCGGCAACGGTGAGTCGTTCCTCCGCAGACGCGTTTGGACGCAGCGGTCAGCTTCCTCCGGGGTCACGTCTACTCCGAGCGCCTTCAGCACGTCCACCACAGCCGTGGCCCCGCAGGCGGACGCTCCGATCTGCAGGGTCTGCATCTCCAGAGCCTCCTGGACGGACCACAGCATGGCTTCATCGGCCCCTGCCTCCTCACCATCCTCACGACCTCCCCGCTCCTCCTCACACACAGCCGCCTCCATCTGAGAGCCTCACCTGGAATTATAAGTAAAGGCACAAAGTCAAAGTAAAGCACCTGCAGCCATTAACCATGTAGCCCATGGATACGGAGGGGAGAGCTTAACGAGATCCAACACATATGTGCTCCGAAGTTACTCCTCATAGTCCACTCGGGTGTTTGCCAGTCATAACAACGGATTTATTTACGTTTATTTTACATGTCCTCACCATTTCTCACGCTGTCAGACACAAACCGACAGCTGCAGCCACAACAACAGTGTGCGCATGCCCGTACTGCGCGTGTTCTGCTCCTCACCGCTTTCTTTACCAGCAGGGGAGAGGAGGAATGAGGCGACTGGCGCCCCCACTGGCCACTTTCAGCTATGACCCACGACCACTACAAGTGCATCTCTGTAGGCTGAAGGCATTTACACCGAAAACAATTCAGTTTGCATATCTGTCTACAAACCGTGTTTATAAAGTAGTACTGCTGCATTTTAATGTATTTGGAGATCTGCAACAGGGGCATTTAAACATGTTTTCAGTTTGAGAAGACAGAACTTTTTAAGAGCAAGTAGTTTAAAATTTACTTGTCATTTTTGAAGTCATTGAACAGTACAGGAGCCAATCAAAGCTTCTTACTTTCCTGGATCAGAGATGCAGCCTCGTGTCACCAGCAGGTCTCAGGAGCTTTCAGTTCAATTCAGTATTATTCATATTGTGCCACTTTCCAACAACATTTGTCTCAAGGTGCTTTATATTGTAAGATAAAGACCCAACAATAATACAAAGAAAACAGAGAAAATTTCAACAATAATATGACCCCCTATGAGCAGGTTCTTTGGCAACAGTGGAAGGGAAAACTCCCTTTTAACAGGAAGAAACCTCCAGCAGAACCGGGCACAGGGAGGAGCAACCAATAGTCGGGACTGGTTGGGTATGATGAAGACAAGACTCTCTGCGTTTAACTAGAAATTAAATGCAGAGAGTTGTATAAACACATAGGGAGTGAAAAAAAAAGAAGAAGCAGAAACACTCAATGCATCATGGGAATCCCCTATCAGTCTACACCTATTGCAGTGTAACCAATTGAACACTATACACTTTATCTCCCCTAACTGTATGATTTATCAAAACAGAATGCTTTAAGCCAAATCTTAAAAGTAGATAGGGTGTCTGTTTCCTGAATCCAGAAAAGTTTGTTCGTTGTTTTTGGTCTTCGAAGCCACATTTTGCCTTCAAAGTCACGGCTCCTGATCTTTGGCTCTCTGGGTCAAGCTTTAAGCCATGTAGCCACCTTTAACAAGCAGCTTAAGGTGTTTGTGATATCATAAGTCACTCCGTGTAATCTCTGTAAGCTGTCCAGACTGACATCAGTAAAAATGATGTCACAATCAAATCGTTCTTCACAAAAAATTGTAAAAAATGCAGAAGAACAGAAGTATATCTTGCTTCACTGTGATTACACATTATACTCCATCATACCAAGATCTGTGTGTGTGACTTAGGATTTACATTTTTCTTATGTCGAGACATAAAAGACAGCATATCTGCCATGTGTGGAAGTTATTATATATCGCAGTATATATTTTAGTGATAAATTACTTTGCTTACAATAATCTGGGTATGCAGTTAGGTGCACAGTTAGGTGTAGTTTGTCTCATTTGTAGATTTCAATCAATCAATGAAGATTGATTAAATTGTGATTGAAGTGCAGAATTTCAGCTTTAATTTAAGGGGTTTATTGACAGTATTACATTCTGTTTAAGAATAACAGCCATTTTCAGAGACGCAAAAGTAACTGGATAGTGTTTTGTAATTTTTAAACATTTTAAAGGATTGTTTTTAACATTTGGAGGAAAATGCTGGGCAAGTCGATGAACTCATGGACATCAACTTGAGATATATCCACTTTCTTTGACTTGAGGAACTCTTGGGTTGCTTTTGGAGCATGTTTCAGACATTTTGCATTTACGCTGTTTGGCTAAATCTGAGCAGAGATTATATCCCTGCACACATCAGAATTAATCAAACACCAGTGACATTGGCATCTATAGCAGTCATACTTTTCTCTTCACATAATTCTGGTACGAGCTCTTACTTGTATTAAATCATTTTGGCGTATCCAAACAATTGTTTTTTGTTTTTCAACTGTGAATGCTCTTTGGATTTTTTTAATTCATTTATTTATTGGTAAAGTCTAATCTGGTCTTATTGTACTTGAGTGTAACCAGATGTTTGTAGCTTGGAGTAAAGTCTCTGTATTTACAACCATGAAGGCATCGCTTATAGATTTTAATAATGATTCTCCTACCTTTCTGAAAGTGTATTTGACTTGGTTTGATGTTGTGAAGTTGTTCTGTTTAACCACTGAATAATTATTTTGTCATCATCCACTTTATTTGTCTTCTGTGCTCTTTCTTTGTTTGTAGCTGGCAATCATTCTTTTAAAAATGCACAAGATTATTGATCTAGCAACTCATAAAGTTGTTGCTGTCTCTCTGACAGGTTTTTCTTTGGTTTCTTTGGTTGATCTTTGGTTTCACTGCCGAATGATGGCCTTCATCTCTTTGTACTTTACAGTGTAGAGCATGAAACAAAAGGAGAGCAGGCCTCATGAAACTACTTGTCAGTCAATTGTCCAATTATTTCTGAGCCTTAGAAAATGGGGGTTTGTGCATAAAAATGGCAGTAATTCCTAAACACTCTTTTGTTAAACCCCTTGAACTAAAGCTGAAAGCCTGCACTTCAGTCACATCTTGATTGTTTGATTTGAAATCCACTGCGATGGCATACAGAGGCAAAACTACAAAAAATTGAAGCCTTTGTCTAACAAGTTATGGAGCTGACTGCATGACCACAAAGCCCGGACAGTTTTCCATCAAGCCAAAAGATGTCAGTGTGGCTACATGCAACTGCAGCATGCAGAAGCGCAGCATGTGTGGTAACAGCAGATATGTACGTGGTGTCACAATGTTTGATGCTTTGTGAAAGAGCCCGAGGCGTGCACGCATTGCCGATGGCCACGTCCTTCTTTTTGCCGTGCACGGTTATCACGGGGGGGGGGAATCGGGGTGAAATGTACAGAGAGCAGACAATCTGAGGCATTAGAGGAAATAGTGTAACAAGGCCACTGTAATCAAGATGGTCTTTTTTTTTAATGTGCTAAATAATTTTTCTTGTTGAGCTAAATTTTGAGCCAACCTGGTTGCACGCCGCACAAATGAAAAGCATAACAGAACAGTTCAGGATACTCAGCTCAGAATCATCCAAACAGGAAGTCCCACGGGACGTCACTGTTCTCCCAATTATTTCTGACTTAAATTCTACAAACAGCCAATGCTGGCTCTGCCTCAAAAACACATGAGAAGCACAAGGAAATAAAGTAAGCCAGCTCTCTGCTCAATGCCATCTGGTGGCTGGAAAAGAGAATCAGAGTTTGCAACCCAAAGTGACCTACGCTGGAAAAAAAGAAAAAAAAACAGACTTTAAGATTTGTATTTGATTAAGAAAGCCTCATTTTTATTCCCCTTGCACACCTTGCTTTGATCTCTACTACAGTAACTTTATCTGTACTGATCCAGGATCACCCGTCAGCATGTGTAATCACGAACACCAAAATCCTTGTTGGTATTCGCCTCACCCTTACTTTCGCCAGGTTTTCTCTCAGTTGCAGCAACTGGCTGCTGGAAACACTACAAGCAAAGTGTGATTAAAACTGACGGGCTCGACGAACGTGATCCGGCTGCCAATAAGCCAGCCAGGAGATCAGGTAGATGGCATGGGATGAAAGACAGAAGCAACCTTGGCGTCACCATTTTTTTTCACTTGCAGATGTAGTAGAAGCTTAAAGGGAGTTTCCTTCTAAGTCGTCTAAGCTTTAGCTCTTCGTTATCAAGCTTGCCAACAGATATGCAGATCAATATTTTATAAAGTAGGCTATGAATAATATGAATACTGTGGGGGTAAAATGTGGGATGTGCTAGTCATTTTAGCAGATAATTCGGAAGCTGCGGCGACTGTACAGAATCAATAGCTTTTTCCTGGGAAAGCATTAAACAGTGTGGATATGCAGCAGCTGTAATATGATAATGCTGTGCTTGCAGCAGACTGTAATGTTGTGCAGCCGTGAATCCAAACGGGTGACCAAGTGCCATCACAGGCACATTCAGCCAAACTCCAGTATTGGGACTAATGCGGCTGTTTACACTAGTTCTCAAGTGGCTCACGCACTCTTTATCTGAATCCTGCTTTACTTGTTACATAACCGCTCCCAATGCAGAGACCATCAAAAGTAGATCCTTCATGCACTTTCAGTTGAAACCGTTAAAGAGATTAAATGAGAAGGATTTAGAAACCGTGCTTAACGGGCCCAGTTTTTCATTGAAACACCGAAGCAGTTTGATTTAGCAAACAGCTGGATTTCTTTTAGAGGTCTGCTGTTCCCCTGAACTTTCCTGCCAGTGATGTCCTCTGGATGACCTTTTGGGTGCTGCACCATCCACTCACTTATTTTTTTATTTTATTTTCCAGATTTCTGAAGTATGAAATACATTTGTGAATATAAACAGCACCAAAGGCTGTACCTACTGACACGTCATTCATATTTAATGATGCATTTCTGTTGTTGTTGACTTTGCCTTTCATGAGTAAACTGCAAATCGCTGAGGCTGGAGGAGGAATAAGTAGAGTTTTTTCCTCTGTGAATACAGACCATTAATAAAGAGACACATACAAGCTGAAGATGCAGCTGTGTGCCCGTCTCATAAATAAATAGTAAATAAAATAAACAAATGCACTGATCACAAATTAGCAGTGACTGCTGTGAGGCAGGCTAATGCAGATTCATGCATCTACTGAAATAGAGGTGCAGGTTAAAAAAGTAAAAATGCCACATCTTTGGCTTCACATTTGTTAAGAGTGAACTTGTTACAAATGATGGTGGGAAAATAAGAAATCAGGACGGAACCTTGTTAATTGCTTGTTATAATGCAAAAGTTTTCCCCAAAATGTCAGACCACAGTGCCCAACAACAAATGCTTTAAGGCAAGGACACACACAGCTCAATTTATTCTTAAATCTCACTTTTCTGTCCAAACAAAGAAGTTAAAGGACACTTTTAGCTGAGACATCTTAATATAAAAGAAGATGTAATTTTAAAGGCAGTTCTTAGTTATTCTGTAGGATCACGAATCGCTGCTTTAATTAATAGAAAAGAAACGTATCAGTATGACTTAAATTATAAGAAATAAGATTGTAAAATTACAGAAAATGACGAAGAGAAAGCTTGTC